ACACTGCTTCTCAGTCATTTGAAAAGCGCTTTGCCCACCATGGGATTTCACTTACTCTGTTTGTTAGAATGTGATCTTTTTGTTAGGAAGAAGACCGTCTAACATTGGCACATTCAAGCTCACAGTCCTTGAGATTACTGGTATTTGGAAATCACATTGAAAACTGTAGTTTCATCTAAGGTGATGGTGTACTTACTGTATTTTAAGCCGAAGTCTGTGCCATTCTTAATGGGATAATCTACAGTTAGGAGGGAATCTTACCAATACATCTATTCAAGATGTTTAATTCTAGACATGTGTTGAGCCAAGTCAAAAGATTTTTTTTTTTGTCTTTTTGTTTTTGCCCCCCCCAACAAAAGCTTGCTTACATTTTAAAAGTTAAGAAAAGTAAAATCAGTGTGCCTATAGCTTGGATGTTTTCTAGTTTGAGTAAATAACCGGAGAGAAAACAGGAAGGAGAAGATAATTAAATGAGAAAGCAAAATTGATTAATTTGGAGTTGCGTGTGGTAGTGTCTCTTTGACCTTGTTGGAGCATGAGGAACATGCTAAAACAGCAATAAAAAAGATCTTTCCTTTTGCCCTGTAATCAAATCAAATCGGATGGTGGTCTTTAGTAAGATGCACGTGCAAATGAGCAATAGGGGGGGAATGAGACCTGTTAGTTTGTTGAAATGATGCAAGTCATTCATAATAGACAGGAGAAAGGGCTAGAGAATTTAGTAGGCAAATCCCCTACTCAGCTAGGGGAAGGCATGGAAATGCCTCATCCCTTCAAACTAATCAGAGGCACAACCTTTTCAGGCCTGATGCTTCGTCTAGGAATTGTGAGATTGGCAGTAGCTACTGTGTGTGGCATTCCCACTGGAAGACGTAATTTCTTAGAAATGAAAAATATGCAGTTATATGAAAAGAAATATGTTTAGGAAAAGGAAATAGGAGAGCAATAAGTAAGTAATTTGAAAAGAAAAATCTCAGAAGAGAGAAGTAGCCTCTCCTAATGAACCCTATTTAATACAATTCAGTTTTCAGTAGGAGAGACTGAGGTTGAAATGGTAATTGCCAGGATATACTAAGAATGGAGCACCCCTCAGAAAAGGAGTTGTTGCCATGACCAAACTGAGACTAACTTGGGGGGTGAAAATAATTGAATGTGAAACCTTTGTGTTACTCTTAAGTTTTGCTTACTTGGAGGGCCGGAAGGTTAGCAGAACTGTTTGCTTCCCATTACCATACTTACGCAACCCACTCACAACTCTCTATAATTCTGGCTTCCAGCCTTGGGGAGAGGAAGTAGGTTAAAAGGGCTTGTGCAATGCTAGTTTAGAGTCGGCGTGTGTGGCTAAGTAATGCAGCCCACTCTGTCCTTTTACATTTGCAGTAATAAATTTTCACTGTGAATGAAACTCTAGAAGTCGTGAAATGAAATGAAGAACCAGAGAGATACGGAAAGTGGGGTGCAGATAGTAGAAATCCTTCCTTCTCTCCCACATACATGCCAATATCTGTGAGAGAAAAAGAGTGACAACTAAGAACAAAGAGAGCTTTTATTTTTTCCTCAGTAGAGAGCATGTACATTGAGTTTTTGAAGCTGCTGAACCACTTTTTTCCCATAACTTCTCATTACAGAACATTTTGTCCCTACCAAGTCGCCCCTTTAGTTTAATTTTTAAAATCTTTAAGCCAAAATTATACAAATGCCATTTTATATAAGATTTATTCAAATTTTTACTAACAACAAGGTTTCCCCCCACTAAATAACTAACTTGAAATGTTTCTCTAAAATACTTGAAAAATGCTGAGGGCAAAGGACCAAAATAATCTATTTAATTCTAGAGAAAAAAAACATAGATAAGGATAAATGATGGGAAAGGAGAAGAAGGAAGGATGGAAAAAAGACAAGAAAGAAGAGGGAGGGAGGGAAAGAAGAAAAAAACCAAGAAACAAATATTTATCATGCATTCACTATGACCCCAAGGTCTTTAGGCACTTTTATTAAACATTTTCCCTTTTGCTCACTTAATCCTCGAAACAATTCTAATCCTCACCACCACCCACTTTATACTGGAGGAGAAAGCAGTATGTTTGACTGTATTATATTTGATATTTATATTTATGGCAAGACAGAGATGCTAGGAAGGATAGCTAAATCCTCCCACAAAAATTGGCACAGACATTGCTCTATAGAAATTTTCTTGCAAAGCCTTGTTTTTGATGCATAACTGTTACATTTCCTGGCACTAAGAATTACTCAGGCCCTGGAAAGGGGAAACTCTAAAGGCTGGCCCTTCTCCATATTAAGAGATGAGTTTGGCTCTTTGAAAATAAGTGTAGGATTCAGTCAGCTTCGGGAATGTTACCTGGGTTTAGATATAATCAAGATTGATTTAGAGTATTCCTAGATGATCTTCCATAGGCAAAAAAAGAGAAGGGTCTGGCACCTTTTCAACTGTGGTGTATAAGTGGTTCAAGAAGAGTTAGTAATAGATTTTTAAGAATGAATCCATTTGCTACATAATTGTAGGAAGAACTTTATGATGATCTTGGGACATTTCCAGTGTTTAAAGACAGTTGGGATAAAGCATGGAATATCATATCTCCTTTTTCCCAGGTAATTTGAAATTGATCTGCTCCCTTTTCATAGCTTACTTGGTTAAATCTGCAGCCGTCTCTTGCTATGTCAAACCACTCCACTTCCAATGGTAAATACCTTCTAGTCAGTAAGAGTTTCAGCACACAGTAAATTACATACATTTTTTAAGCAGATTGCTAGTCTCAAGATAAGGATTGTTTTTATTTCCTGCGAGTATTTATCAGATGATCCTAAAAGAACATCGGGTCACCAAGATCAATGAAAATTAGATTAACCAAAACAAATAAAAAACAAAACTCTGTATATTCTTTGCTATCTTCATTTTATTTGGTCTTCATTGACATTTATTATGGCAAGTACTTGTGGTTACTGGCTTATAGGTGTGAAAGATAGCAAAAGAAAAGAGCAAGATAGAGGATACAGAAAATGAGGTTACAACATGGCTAAATGGATAAAATGAGACATGATGACATCTTTAATAGCTTGAACTGAAATCACTTATTTTTCTTGACCAAATTAATCATAATAGTGTTGATGCCAAAGAAATAGGAAAAAATAATTCAAAATGCTTTCTGCAAAAAGTTTAAGAAAAGAAAGAATAGCAACATAGATCTCAATATTATTAGGGTATTTTTGAAGGTGGAACCCTGCATATGTAGCTAATTTTTAAAAAAATTTTTGGCTGGGCGCGGTGACTCAAGCCTTTGGGAGGCTGAGGTGAGTGGATTGCCTGAGCCCGCGGGTTCGAGACCCACCCGGGCAGCTTGGCAAGACCTCATCTCTACAATAAATCAAAAAACTAGTCGGGCATGGTGGTGCACACCTGTAGTTTCGGCTTCTTGGAAGGGTGAGGCAGAAGGATCTCCGCAGGTCGATGCTGGGATAGCCGTGAGTGTGCCACTGCACCCCAATCAGGGTTAAGGAGTGAGACTCCATCTCAACCACTAAAATTTTTTTGTCAGCCTATGCAAATTCTTGAAGGAAATAGTTCAAAATGTTCAAAACAGTTTACCACTCAAATGTGTATGTTCAGAACAGTCTGACAAAAGTAAAACTAGTCTTTGATGTTTATCTTATATTTAGAATATGAAATATGCGGTCATCTTCTGTAAATACAAAATTGACTCTTGCTGTCTGAGAACATAGGCTTAATTCTGCACTACCAGCACCCAGGAAGCTATTGACGACTGAGAACTTTGTCTGTAATTAGCATAAACTGGCAACAGTAAATTCTAGCATTTTGGTAATGACCTAGTTAACTGAATAGTTAGGCTTCTTATAGGCATAGTTATCTTAAAGAGAGATTCTGACATTTTAACGTGCTTTTATGCCCACTTAAAAAGGTATATGATTTTATTAATAAAAATTATTTTCAATTGAAGTGAAAGTAAAGTTTTAGAAAGCAAAAAATGGAAAAATTTCTGAAATGTCCCAAACTATGTATTTAATGTGTCATTTAACCTTTATAATAATTCTATGCATATCATTGCTTTAATGTAAATAAACTAAATCTCAGAAGTTTTAGATGACTTATAACAGAGTTAAAAAATCTGGGGTTTTAAATTGGGCCTGCAAACCTAAATACACTTGTCCTGAAGGCTAGAAATCTACTGATTTCCGTTACTACTTAGTGTAATAGAGAATTCTCAGCAAAGCGAGCAAAATATTTTTTTAAATTCTCTGTATTCAATATCTCAAACAGTTATGGTACATAGTTTATTTGAAGGAAAAAAGAGCATGGATGAATTTTAACATATGTCTCACAGGATAGTTTTAATGCTTTTAGGTTTTATTGGTGAAGTAAAATCATGAATATGATTTTTATAACTTAGGTTGGTTTATTGATGTCGCGTCAGTCCCAAGTTGACAACCAACTTTGGAGTCTTCATTGGTACAGCAGTCATGTTTGGCATGGGCATGGTGTCAGAATATGGAATTAAGACTGTAATCCAGAAACGGTTCAGGATTTTAAGTCGCAAAAATATATTATCAGGTTGCATCAGAATAGAAAGAATAATTGTACTGTAACGCATCTGCCACAGGTGTGTGTGTGGAGGTGACCATACATTGAATTTCGTACTTCCAATCTTAGATACTCATGAAAATTTCTATTTTTTAGAGTAAGTGGTAAATTAAAGGAATAATTATATCCCACATGTGCATTTAACTATTTTGCCCACTGTAATTTTGTTGTCTGGTCTCAAGAAGGGGGGAAAAAACTTTAGACAATTGTTATTATTGTATTGACTGTGTTAGTTTCTTCTTCTTAAGCAGATTGTTGCCATCTCTGGTCTTTTGAGTCTAATTTTTCTTTAGTTTATCTATGTCCATGGCTCTTGACAAAATGATAAAATGTATTTCCAGAAAGCACGTGGATTTGGAACTCTCTCTTGTTATGTTTATATTAGGCTTTATTTTAAAGACAAGTGAGACTGCTTCCAATAAAACAACTCCAAGCTTCCAAGAAACAGTTAAGAGAAGGCAGCAAGGAGCAGAAACACTTCTTTGCTGATACTTACACTGTTGCCATGGACCTACATAAGCAGTGGGAGAACACAGAGACTAACTGGTACAAGGAGAAGATGGAATTGTTGGACCAGTTTGACAATGAAAGAAAGGAATGGGAAACTCAATGGAAGATCATGCAGAAGAAGATAGAAGAGGTACAAGTTGATTTGTGGTGAATGTGCTGTAAACTTCAAGCTCAGAATGAAAATTCTGTTGAAGTTTGTTTTACATTGGAAACTGTTTTTATTTTCCTTATTCCACCTAAGAGGTACATGTCTCAGTGACATTTACTAGACCAAAAATAACATAATCTTACCCAGAGATATCTCAAATAATATTTAATAGCCTTTCATGAAAATTAAGTACTTTAAGTGTCACTGTAAAATTTATAAATGTATTATTTTCTGGCTAGAGAGCCTTGGTATCAAAAGTGAAGTGTGTATTAATATTTTTTGTATCAGTGTTCAAATACCAGGGCCCAGGAGTAAAATGCAAAAAAAAAAAAAAAAAGACATAATTGATGGGACATGTATTAGCAAAATTACAATTTGGCATTAGAACATATATCTTTCCTGAGATGATTGATGTAATGTCTATTAAAGGAAATTACATGTGAGGCAACTCAGTATAATCAAAAGGAGTGTCATATATCAAACCAACAATGACAATGGAAAAGAGATTTATTTTGTTAAGGTGTGCCACGTTTATTTGCACATTCATTAGGAAGAGGGCTATGAAAAATGGCATGTCATGACTCTGACACAAATAGTCATTTTATTTCCATTAACCATCCTTCAACCTGTTGGGCCTGGACTATTTCCTTCAAGAATTTGCATTGATGCATACTTATTAAGCTTGATCCAACCGAAAATTACTTATCTTGCTTTCTTTTGGTAACATACATAGTGTTAACTCATATGGTTTTAAGCACATAAGCACATTACCAAAGCAGTTATTTTAAGGCTCCTTAGTCTTTATTTGCAAGCAAAGCTTTATATGTTTAGAGTGCAAATGTTTTTTCCTATGAGCAACCATGTGATTGGTTGTGAGTAAAATACAAATTGGCATAGTGAAAAAAACAGCTATTAACTCTCCCTCCAAAACTGAGCTGAGAGGGCAGGCATGGAGGGTACGATTACAGATAGAAAGGAAAGTCCACTTCTCATCCCTCTATATTTTGTAAAATGTGTCCATCTTACTCCTTCAAAATCTCCACCCAGAGACTCAGATCGGATCAAAATCCCAAACTCCAATTCAATTAGAAACTGACCTATTGTCATGGGCCGTTCGCCTACAAATGTTTGAGAGATCCAGTTGGTAATAAGCTCAAATAATTTTTAGCATCCTAACAAAAGAATTAAGGGATGTAGGATTTCATCTAGCTGATTGTTTAAGAAATGTAGCTTTTTAAAAAAAATTCTATTTGATTAAATTTGTTACTGTCTAAGAATTATTATGAAACCTGACCTAAGGTAAATATTAGCCTTATCAATTAGCAGGCTTTAAACATTGGGTTGTAGTTCATAGGGATTCTATCCCTTTCTGTGTCAGAGAGACAGAAGGCTGTAATGTTTTTTCTTCATCTTGGAGAGTACTTGGTGCTATTTATATCTTGCTGCCTGTGCTGTACAGCTCTGCAGTTGAGAATATGTTTAGATACTGTGCTTATTCAGAATACCTATAGGTGATGCTCTTTAATACCTGAATATCAGCACTGTGTTTCCCTTATCATACTCAGATATATACCAAAATTGCACCAAGCTGGGGTAAGTGGATTGGGGGACACAAGGGAAAGGTATCTTCACATGTCAAAGAGAGTCAAGACAATTTTTTAAACTAAAATTACGAAATTAATACTCATAAAAATATGCCACAGACATAATACATTAAAATTGTTTAGCATTTATCACTAAGTTCTGTATATTAAATCACATATATATTTTTAAGCCATATATTAGAATTATAGATACCCTGGTTATGCACATATATTTTTAGTAATTCAAATGATGATATCATCTAATAATAGGATGCAGTGTTTGCTATAGAGAGGTTCAAGATTCTTTATTCAGCCACTATCCACAATCATTGCATTTGCTATGGAAAACCAAGACCTACTTGCTAGGATCATTTGAAACTTGAAATAATCCAGATAGAAACTGAGGATGGAATTTATAGACATCTGGGAATTATTTTTTTTTCACACTACAACCTTTTCTGCATTATATTCTTTGCTAGAATGAACATATAACCATTGACAAAAGCTGAGTACCAGTTGACTCAGATCTTCTTATACAAAATAAATTACTTTTTCCATCATCATGTTGTTTATTTATACTTCACCTAAGTTCTTGAGAAAATTTAAGTTAGCATAAAATTACAAAATATTCAAAAACAAAAATAGGCAGATGAGATGAAGACAGGATGAAGTATCATACGTAAAATGTAGCAGGGAGTTTGTATTTCTAGTAACTAACAAAAATTATCAGGTACATATTTCTTAATATTTAGAATACAAAGAAAACTTATTTCCCAGGAATAGCATTTTTTGTTTCCCTGGTTCTGAAGCTGAAACAATCCTATTTCTACCCACAGCTTCTCAAAAAGAGGGCAGTTTAGCCAACAGCATCCTTAGATTTCACATGTCACTTTTTGTTTTGTTTTGTTTTGTTTTGTGTTTTTTTGTTTTTTGAGCTGGAGTCTCACTCAGTCACCCAGACTGGAGTGCAGTGGCATGCTCCCGGCCACTGCAGCCTCGACCTGCTGGGCTCCGGCGATCCTTCCCCCTCAGCCTTCCAAGTAGCTGGAACTACAGGCGTGCGCTACCACACCCGGCTAATTTTTTTGATTTATTGTAGAGACGAGGTCTCGCCAAGTTGCCCAGGTGGGTCTCGAACCCACGGGCTCAGGCAATCAAATGTCACTTTTAATGGCTGATTCTCGTAGCGCTCTTCAAGGACAGCCCAAATCATAATATGGTACAAATAATTTTAAGAAACCAAAGTTGTTGATTCGTGACTGCAGTTTGATGCTATCCTGACTTTATGCAACAAATACTAATAAATGTATAAGTACTAGAAAGATAAATATACCATATATCTTTCAAGCATCAACTATGTATAGTGCTGACCTCAACTGTGTTTTGAGGGAACAGTAAGCCACAATAAATCTGTTTTTAGTATTCTTTGAATAATACATGTAGTGCAGATATTAATTATGGCTTTAAAATGTAGAATTGTTTGCTTTAATAATAATCTGACAGTCTCTTTGGATATTTGGCAAGCTTTTCCCCAAGTCAGGACTAAAGAAAAGGTTACTTTCTTCCTTAATTCGGAAATGAGCTCAGTGAGTGCCTGCAGGTTTAACTAAGATGGTTTAACTAAGATCTCATTGAGAAAGAACTTCCTCTTTGACACAGTCTAACAGGTGATCATTGCCTTTGAGTTCTATTATATCACATCGGGCATTGTCATATTTGTTGTATTCTGAATGAGAAATTTTTTAGACTGTGTATAGACTTGATATTAAAAAAAAATTCAGTATATCTAGCCATCACAACAATGTAATTGACCAACAAAGAAAATGGCCTTTGACAACTGTCAACTTAAAGAACAGAAAGAGTTGACTTATTATATGAGATGGTCATCTATTTCGACAGTAAATGTTGGTGTACAAGTAGGATTATATATTTTAAAAGCATGACTTTAATGTCACACTTTTACTTCTCTCTGAAAACAAATAGCATAGCCAGTAATTGATTCAGGATATTCTAATTTTGTGACAGTACTTCTGTATGTATGTAGGTATGTACAGATACAGTTTTGTTTCATTTTTGAATGAGTTAATTTCTCATCAGAAAGATAGACATTAGCATCCGTGCATTGCCCTACTAGAATTAGTCTTCACGGTTCATTGAAGTCCCAGCCAATTTGCATTTTAGAGGCATTATTTGGAGACGTTAGCATTAATGCCCAAGCTATTAGAAGTATGGCAAAAAGAACTCAAAATGGTTTGCTTGGTCTTGAGAATATTAACAAAGTGAATTAGGGAAAAAAAAGTTTTAATTTTGTTTTCTTGCAGCTATGCCAGGAAGTAAAGCTTCGGAGGAAAATCAACATGAATGAATGTGCTAAGATCATGGATCTTGATCATGAGAAGACCATTCAGGACAAAATGGTAGAATCTTCTCCAAATTACCCCAGTTCAAGACAATGTGAGTTTATAGGAATGAATCACAGGGATGGTCTGAGAAAAGAAAATAAAGCAGAGCAGAGCTTAGTCAGTGAAGGACATCCGATGTGTAAGGAACAAAAAGCAACAAAAAAATCAAAAATAGGGTTTTCGGATCCTTTGGCCACAGACAACCGAAAGGAATGTGAAGCCTGGCCTGACCTGAAGACTTCTGAGGAAGAGAGCAAGAACTGTTCTGGTGCCCTCAACACAGTAAGTAAGATGCAATTGACCTAGAAATGTTTCTAGAGAAATATTTACATTTCAAAGTGCTAACACTCTATTGCTTATATGTACAAAGGCCCTTGAAGAACTTGCCAAAGTTAGTGAAGAATTATGCAGCTTTCAAGAGGAAATTCGAAAGCAGTCTAACCATAGAAGGTAGGCGGGAAATCTATGATTATTTTACGTTGGGAACTCAAAAAGATATTGTTTTTAGTTAATCAGTCTGAAGTGCCTCCTCTTTACATTTTGTTAGTGAAAAATTAACAAGTTACTAAAATGTATCATCATAGATGGGAGATTTGAAACTTTTTGTATTTCTCTACTCACTAACTCTTAAAGAAAATCTTCCAATTTTCTTTGTAATTTGACAATTAGGAATACCCTCCTCTTTTGTTGTTTAGTTAAAGCAGATTCTCCATAATAAGTTAACAAATAACTTCTATTGTAGTTCTTTTTTACTGGGTATTTGGTCTGTAGAAGAGTATCCAGCTGGGCTAATCCAGGTAAATAGATATTTAAATTATGTCAGTTTAAGGGGTGTGGTGTTTGATTATATAATGTTCTACTGAAATACTTTATACTTCAGGGTCATTTATTTTTCTTCGAGTAGCATTTGTATAATAGAGGCATAAATTTTTTAGAACAACATACTGTCAATATGTATACACATGCATATGTCACAACAAATGCTGTATCAGTTTAGAAATAGTATATAATTGTAACAATAAGTTTGAGCCAAATTAAAAAAAATATTGGCATTCTCTACAAGTTAAATAAAGGTGGATTATTCTAGGATCAACATTTATCATCTGTCTCTTCGTGGGGCAGTATGCTTCTCTTAGAAAGCTATGGTAATATGTGCCCTTATTTATTTATTTATTTATTTTTGTTGTTGGGAAGCTTGGAGGGAATCTTTGTACTGACTTGCCATAGATTTTCTTAGGCAACCATGTTTTAGACATAATTTTGTCCTCAACTTGCCCATATAGCTCTTGTTCACTATTTTCTATGAATGGTACTTGCCTGTACTTTCTTTTTCTTGTAAGCTATTTCATAATCCCTTTTATAAACTGAAGAGGTAGAAATATGATTTATATTTCTCAATATGAGAAATTTTTTGAGTCAGGGTCTTTTTTTTTGGTCAGGGTCTCACTCTGTCACCCAGACTGGAGTGCAGTGGTACGATCACTGCAGCTCACCACATCCTCAAACTCCTAGACTCAAGTGATCCTCCTGCCTCAGCCACCTGAGTAGATGGGACAACAGGCTTGTGCCACCACGCCTAGGTAATTTTTTTATTTTTTGTAGAGACAAAGTCTTGCTTATGTTGCCTAGGCTAGTCTCAAGCTCCTGGGCTCAAGCGGTCCTCTTCCCTCAGCCTCTCAAAGTGTTGGGATGACAGACGTGAGCCACCGCACCCAGCCTGATTGTTTGATTTGTGACTGTTTCTGTGTTTAGACTTTTATATAAATAACTCAGAAAAGACTTGCCAAGTTTGTTTTACAAGTCAAGACCTGGTATAAAGTTCTTATTATCATCCCATGGCCTTTAGAACAAGGTTTAAAATCTTTAATATGTCTTCAAAGACATGACAATTTGACATGACCTAATGTTTCTCTATAATTTTTTATTATCCTCCCTGCTCTGTTTTATAATCCAGCCATACCAAAGTACTCATTGTCCCTTGAATGACACAGTTTTTATCCTACCTCACTTTGCCTGTATGTGCTTCACTTGACTCATCCAAAAAAATTCTTACTTTTCTTTCAAGCACAAATGACACTTTTCATTTGGGATTGCTCGTGTCTCCTTGTATTTTTGTTCAGATTTCGATCTTACCACTTAAAATGTTATTTCAAATTCAAAGCAAAGAACTTGAGCTCAAATTATATAATGAATAGGAATTTGAAAGGCAGAGAAAAGGTAAGGACATGGCAAGAGAAAAAATATGCAGACAATATAGGAATACCAAAGGCAGAAACCTGAGGGACCACTTAGTCTAATCTAAGGGTAGGTAAAGTCTCAGTAAGAGGAAAATGAGAGACCAGTTTGGAAAGATAGTTGAAGTCAGAGTATGTAGAGCCTTGCGTGTAACACTGAGAGGTAGACTTTATCATTCACTAAAAGGACTTGGAGTTTTTGATTAGGAGATTTATATAAAAATGATGTGTGAGAAGATTTGACCCCTTTTCCTATGAGAGGAATTCATGACTTAAGCTGTGGTCTATTTTGAGAGCTTATTCTAAATAAAGTCATAACTAACATACCATGTTTTGTAATTGTTCAGGATGAAGTCCGATTCTTTTCTCCAGGAAATGCCAAGTGTAAGTAACATGCCTCATGGCAACCATATGATCAACAATGGCCAGTGCGTTCTTCCAGTCAATTTAGAAAAAGAAAAACAGAAAAATAGAAAGAAACTGAACTGTACCAACATGTTCCAAAGCAATTCTGTTAAAAATTGTGGAATCGATACAATTGATCTTCAAAGAAATGAAACTCCACCAATTCCTCCTCCGAGAAGCACCTCTCGAAATTTCCCCAGCTTGGATTCTCAACAAGCCTATGAAATGTTGAAGGAAAGATTGGATTACTACTGCTCGGTGGCTCCGGAGGGTCAAAGCCAAAGGAACTGCAATCCTCACTTCCTCTCTTGGCAGCATGAGATGCCCATGTTGTGTCCAATTGAAGAAAAGACTTTGAGGGATGGTATTGCATGTTCCTCTTCAGCACCAGAAGTCCAAACAGATAGCAAGCCTCCAAGTGATGAAGATGTTGAACTTAGTATGGGGTCATGTGACACTGGGATGGGAGCAGAAGAAGGCTCCTCCACTTTGTGGTTTCAAAAAACCTGCTCTACCCCCGATAAGTCAAAATACGAAATGGTGATCTCGAATCACCCTGCGAAATGCCATCCTGATCTTCATGCAAGTAATGACCGCAGCTCCTCGGTGACACAGAGCGGTAGCCCACTTAGAATGTTTGGTTGTGACTTTGGAAGAACTACAAGGAATGAAAAACTGGCAGCAAAGACTGATGAATTTAACAGAATTGTATTTAGAACAGATAGAAATTGCCATAGAGTACAGCAAAATCAAAGCTATTCAAAATCATCTGAGGATCTTAAGCCCTGTGATACCTTACCCACTCGTACAGGTAGCATATCAGACAGTGACAATGTGTCTGGTGTTTGGAAAGCCAATGCCCACATGCCTGTGCCCATGAAAAATGTGCCTAATAATCCCACTAAGAAATTCACACCAGGCCTAGACAGACAAATGCAGGGCCACCTCAGTCCTCGTAGTTATCGGAATATGCTCCACGAGCATGACTGGAGACCAAGTAATTTGTCGGGCCGACCAAGGTCTGCTGATCCGAGGTCAAATTATGGGGTTGTGGAAAAGCTGCTGAAAACCTATGAGACATCAACAGGATTTGCACTGCAAAATTCTAAGTGCTTTCGGGATAATGTCACCAAATGTAATTCCTGTGTCAGTGGTGGTACCACAATAAGTCAGCATTTAGAAATGCTCCAAATGGAACAAGAATTTCAGCAAAAGACAGCTATGTGTGCAGGACAGCAAGTGAAGCAAGAAGTAGATCAGAAAAAGATGACAGAGGTGAGAAAGCAAGTAACATAATTTGACAGGGCTGTATCTGCATTAGCAATGGCACTCACTGAGTTCTGTCAATTGCCCATTCATATAAATAGGAGGTAAAATTTTGGCCTCTTCTTAGCTTTTTGGCTCTCTGTAGGTAAATATAGCTCCACGTGAACTTTTAAGGTGTAGTTTTTAAGGTTGGGAATAGCACATTCTAACTTTTTAAAAATTCTGAAATGAGACAATTTAAATATAAGTAGTGGATCTAAGAACCTCAAGTGTTTACTCTTTCTTTCCTGAAAAAATATTCAAAGTGGACATTATTGATTTATAGAATTCTCTTTTAAAGGTTTATGTTTTGAAAAACGTGAAAATATTTTTTAAATAATTTTTTCTTTTCAGTTATTAACTACGACTGGTTCAGTCATTCTGGGTATTTGATTCAAGTTCTTTCTCATAGGATTAATCTCATTAATGTGAATATGAGTAAAACACATCATTTAAAACAGTGCCTAATAGTGTTATCTGTGGAACTAAAAGATAGTATTTAGAAATAAGGTTATCCTGCCAGGTGTGGTGGCTCACACTTATAATCCCAGCACATTAGGAGGTGGAGGCGAGAGGATTGCCTGAGTCCAGGGGTTTGAAACCAGCCTGGGCAACTTCGGAAGACTTCATCTCTACAATAAATTAAAAAGTTAGCTAGCATGGTGGCATGTGCCTGTGGTTCCAGCTGCTTGGAAAGCTGAGGTGGAAGGATCACCTGAGCCCAGCAGGTCAAGGCTGCGGTGCCTGTTAGTGTGCCACTGCACTCCAGCCTGGGTGACAGAATGTGACTCCTACTCAAAAAAAAAAAAAAGAAAGAAAGAAAGAAAATCATCCTTATTTGTATATTTTTTATATCAATTCTTGTAAATATTGTTAGCATAGAAATTGCCCAAAAAAGTCCATTCAAATGGATATTGACATAAACAGTTATTCTTTTTTAAAATTTTGTCCATTAACAAAGGAGTATAATTTTTGTTAGATATAGGAGAAGAGGCTGAAGAAAATGGCATTTACATTGAAGAGTTATACAAAAGTCTTTTTTATGCATATAATTTTTAAGAACATAGCTTGCAAAAAGTTACAAGGTGAAATTGTTATTATTAACCAATGCTTCAAAAATCCTAGTTTTACAGAATGCAGTATCTATGCAGTGTATTTTAAAGCTATACAACTATGCAGGTTGCCTCCTTGTAAAAAAATATTATTCTTATGTGGACTTCAAACCTTTAAAAAATACTTGTTTTTATTCATTTTACCAGAAACTTTGCTTCTTTTCACAAGGTAAAAGTAATCATCCTGCATTTGTATTCCTCTGTTTTTTAGTTGACCCATAAATGCCTGCAAGATCTTGCAGCTAGAGATGGAAAATGGAAACATGATACAATAACTAATCAAAATTCTCATTAACTAGCAAGACTTAATACTAAAAGTTTCCCCTTTTTGCACTGATTGGGGGCTGGGCGTGGGGAGCGTCCTCTACCTTAGGAGCATTTTTTGTTGTTTCCCCACTGTGTTCAAATCTAGAAAATAAGTCTCCAAAGACAGATTTTTTTTTTCAATGCTGCTTCCTGTCAAGCCATGGCTAAGTTTGTAGAAATAGCGACTATTCACACAGCTAATCTCAGATGAAAGAGCACAGGCTTTGTTAAGGTCAATAAAAATCACGTGTATAAAATGTGTCATGTACGCTTTTTAATTTTTTTAATTGTAAGGATCAAAGAATACTCTTCTTCCATTAAAATGAAAGAAAGAAAGGAGGAAGTGAAAGAAGGAAAGAGAAGGAAATGATTTTCACTCATCAGAACATGCCCAGTAGAAATGGCATCTCTTTATTAGCAACTAGAATGAAGTTGTATTTTAACTTTTGGAAATATAGCAACAGGTCAGGTATGGTGGCTCAAGCCTGTAATGCCAGCACTTTGGAAGGCAGAGGTGAGAGGATTGCCTGAGTTCAGGGGTTTGAGACCAGCCTGGGCAACTTGGTGAGACCTCATCTCTACAATAAATCAAAAAATCAGCCAGGTGTGGTAGCGTGTGCCTGTAGTTCCAGCTACTTGAAAGGCTGAGGTGGAAGGATCACCTGAGTCCAGCAGGTCGAGACTGTGGTGGCTGTGAGTGTGCCACTGCACTCCAGCTTGGACAACAGAGACTCCAACTCAAAAAAAAAAAAAAAAAAAGATAACACTGACTCTTAGTGAAGAAAAAAAAAAGCATCAGGCAAATCATCTGTTTTGTTTGCCTTTAGCTTATGACCTCTGTGTCAGTAACCTGATGTAAATGAATAGTTTCTTCTATAAGTTATCTTTTTATTTTTAAATAACATTAAGTATCCTAATATCCCACTAAAAAGCATCTGTAGTTCCATCATATTTAGATTAATTAACTTGAACTTTTGAATTCTGAGCTCATAATTAGTTCTACAAAGAGATAAATCATATTAACATTTGTCAGCCATCAGAAAAGCTATAAGATTATCAAATGCCATCTTCCATATTAAAGTCTAATTACTTTGATTAAAACATTCAAGATCATAAATACTAGACAAATACCTTCTTTAGTTTCCGATGCTTTTTTCTTGCTTGTAAATTTGTGATGACGTTAATCTTCCAGTTGGGATCCATGATATATTAAGCCCATTTTTGGTGCCCACATAGTGAGAGGAGTGTCTTCACTTGTGTCCTAGGAAGCCATGACAGTGAAAGTCTCACATGGAAAAGGATTTTCCCGACCTGCTAGACCTGCAAACCGCCGGCTGCCATCCAGGTGGGCATCCAGATCTCCATCAGCACCCCCCGCCTTGCGGAGAACTGCCCACAACCATACTATTTCTCTGCAGTCTGAAGCATCAATGGTCTAAGACTCTGGCCTGGATTGCTGGATTACAAGAAGTTATAGTCTCAGTTGTCAGACAGCATTCTGAGTGTTTATAGCCAATCCTGTTCTCTTCTTTATCTTTCAAGATCACTGGGACGAGCAATCTAAATCTTAACTTTCCATCAGTCTTCAGTGTTTTTAATCTATGGAATAATTATCTTCTTGTATTTTGTTTCTTAGATCAGGATTTTTTAGTGCCATCCTCATTAATTTTTCAGAATGATTTAAGTTGAAACAATGTACAATATTGTATATTCTAACTTTCTTGCAAGTGGCAAAAAGTAAGGTTATGTGCATGGCTATGTGTTTGTAGGTGCATGTGTTGAAATAGGAAGTATCCTAGTATGTACTTAGATAAGATAAAACCTATGTGCTAGTGTTGACTTTGAAATTATAACATGTATACCTATATATTCTTTGTGTTTATTTAAAAGTTTTGGAAATATACAGTACTGTTTATATTTTGTATGCCTTTTAGTAGGTATCCACTTAAGGCACTTGTGGTACATATATTAATCAACCACTTCCTTGACCCTCAGCTACACTGAAAAATAAGAATTATACACATATCTAGCATTGGTAGATTTCCAAGAAAACTCATAGTTTCTTAACCCATGTAAGGATAAAATAATACCATTAATCTCCTTGCTTATTCTTTTTAAATAAAAGTGTCATAAGTTAAACAGATCAGCCTTCTAAAGCAAGTATAACATGTTTATAAGTGCTTTTACAGGTCATTTGGTAGTCTAGTATGGCTTTAACTGTATACTTGATTCTCACAGCCAGTATCATGAGACTGCCTTATAAATGACATGACTAAATAATGAATTGATTTTGTCAACTTTAGTAACAAACGTTCCTTAAATGGGATGCAAAAAAAATTAAATTATGTTGAATTTCATTTTTTGTTAAAATTGTAGTAAGCTTTTAGTTTAGCTGCTTTACCTGGAGTCATACATATCTAGAGGTAAGTCATTTATTTTTCTTCTAAACTTATACTTAAAATTAGTAGATAAAAGACTAATTCACTTTTTTATTAACAAGGAAGATCAGGAATAATGTTTCATTGAGAGCTGAATTATATTTCTTATAGTGTGCTACAAAAAAAAAATCATAAAAAGCCTTAAACTAAACCTTGATATCCATAGTAGCATCAGGAATAGAAATATATATTTTGGATACAATTTGCATACAGTAAACATACAAAATCTAAGCTGAGAATTGACAGAAACCTGAATGTTGATGTGCTTGGAATTCTACATGGAAAATATTAGAAGCAACTTTGCTCTCACTGTCTCTACATAAAGTCAATTATCATTAGGTACTGATTCTATTTAACCTTTTTTTTTTACTATCAAAGAAGCTTAAGAAATTCTTATAGCCAAATGTATGCAAAGAGACTTCTCCTTATGATGTATTTTAACTAAATCATTTAGAGAAATTCACATCATTAAACACTGTGACCCGAGGTACAGTAAATTTTCAAATCTCAGACTGCCTTGAAAGGCAGTAGTATAGTGACGTCTAGATTTGTGCTTTACATTAAGGAGACTTTCAAAAATTAACTGAAATCAAAATTCTCAAATGTGATTTTGGATCGGATGGTAAGTAGGGCTATGGATTGACTTTTTTGTTTTTTCGCTTGTTTCCTTCAAGAAGATCTTTTTCTACAAGAAACCTATCAAAGAAAAGTAAACTAGAACCAACAATATTACTCTTATAATACATTTTCAGCTAGAGGAAAGAAAACACCGGGAATGTGAAATCCTGGGGCATACAACCATGAACCTGATAGGAAAATGCTGCTGCAGTGAAAGCCCACCCAAGGACGTGGCAGTAGAGAAAGCCCACCCAAGAATGTGTGACATTTTTCTTGCCAGCACTGTACCTCAAGCAGTCTGGTATGATCTGTGGTTCCTAAGTAGTTGAGAATCTCTTTAAAAAATGAAATTTCTGACCTCACCCCATAATTACTAAAGCAAATTTGCCAGGGGTGGAGACTGGGACTCTGGAGTCTTTAATAAAAACAGAACAAGACGAAATATTTGATGGCCAGAAAGATTTCCAAGCAATGACAGTGATTGATACTTGAATGGATAGGTATCCTTGTAAGGTCACTTTCCTTCCCTGGGACTTACCTTTGTTATCTATACATTAAAAGGGTTCTAATGTTAGGCTTCACAATTTTAAGACACTTTTTTCTATTAACATTTGAATGAACCAGTGAGCATTGAACATTTTAACATCTTATGTTGACTAAAATCATAGAATATTGGAGCTGAAAAAAAAAATTAGCCTTTAGTTCAATCCCTTTATCGTAAAACTGAAGAAACTAAAACAGATTCTATGAATGTTGTTTTCTCTTTTTAAATATTTTATAATATTTTAATAGAAAAACCTACCAGGTAAATGGAAATTATCCTTGAAAATGTTTTTTGATGTATTGTGATTTTTACTAGTAATTTTTCTACTTTGGATGGGCATTTTCCTCCCAAGAACTTTCCCTTCATTATGCCATCATTGCTAGATGTAAGGGATTTGTATGCATAGCTAGAAATATTTGATTAGCAACTTATATTAATGTTTTCCCTAGCAGACATTTGGGGCAAAAATCTTATTTAACAGGAGATTGTTGGTATTATGATATTGCTGATCTCAGAAAGAAATAAGAATGAGGCAGAGAAGAATGCTTGAGTTTCTTTGTGTGTGAATGTGTGCGTGTGTGCACACCATCCTCACACAAGTTTTCTCTATATTGCTTTATGTCCCAAAGTCAATATAAAAGTATAAATGATGCTTTGTATGATTAACATGATCAAAAATGATCCATAACTTTGTTTTTATATAGACAGTGAAGATGATCATATTTTTCTTTGCAGATGTTGCCATAAAACATAATTTACTTCTACATAGGTTATTTAACCAGGCTCTGTGTTATCCTGAGAAAACATCTGAACTTTAAAAGGAGTATCTGCTTACGTACAAAGATATTTAAAATTATTTTTAAGCACATTTGCTGGTAAACAACTACTTGATATTGAAATCTGCAGCCATTAGAAGCTATCAAATAAAAAAGGTGTGGAAACACCCACTGTGGCATTTGTATACATTGAGAACATTTTTATTTTCTTTTCTGCAGTGAAATCCAGTGCATTCCAGAATCTTATAACGTCTAAACTTTAAGTGCTAAACTCAAAACAGTTCAATCTAGCCTCTTCCAAAATATCTCCCAGTAAATTTAAGACATCTGCCTGACTTCTTGCTCCTGGTCATTTGGTTCCTCATACACTGACAGCCTCTCTGTGTCCATTTAACTGCTAATTGAGCATGATAAAAGTTTTCTTTGAGAGCATTAACCTCTGAAATTTGCATTTACATGATAAAGTTAATTACATTATTTTTACGCAAATTCAAATTTCTAGTATAAGACTATTTTGCTTCAAATTCTGCATTTTTTAAAAGAATTAAGTACATTTATCAATTGTAAAAGGATTTCATTAAGCCAAAAATAAAGAAAAATTGGGAGGGGAGGGATCCTTCAGACAAATACTAAAGATGACTTCTACTCAATCATTTTTATGGCATAAATTGTTCTTATAGAAAATTTTTGTTTTAGTGGAAATAAAATTATAATACTAACATCTGATACACATTTCAATGATCTTATGAATCCAGTAGGCATGATTGACAAACTCTGGGGAAAAAAATCTGTATGAAGCTATGGAGAAATCTAGAAATTTGAAGAGTCTAGATTTGTACAGACATAAAATGTCACTCAGAACAATCTCATTGAGAGGTGAGAAACCTAAAACTAAGAGAGGTCTATGTGGCCACCATGGCTACAGGGACAAAATCCAAGCCTGGGCTCAAATACTCATGTCCTACTTTCCTGTGTAAATGTCCCTTGTGCATCTAATACTTTATTGTTTGCAAAGCACATTTATATTCCATGACAACAAACTTCAAGGCAGGCATTGTGATTTCTAATTAAAGAAGGAGAAATTGAATAATGAAGATGATAATTAGAATAAATATTTTCCAAGATAATAGAAATAAATTGATGGCTCTTTACTCTTAGCTCAGGCTCTTTCCAATCTTCTTTTCCCAAGGAAAAGAGTGAATATTTTGCATTTTTGTTATGCTATGTTTTATGCATGCCACTGAAATTGTTTATTTTGCTCTCATTGAGAGTTTCTCTTGATTCTTTTGATGACCTCAATTGAAAGTCATCGCTCCTGATTTATTTGGTTTTAACAAATTCAAGAAATTGTGCATGAGGCTTACTTTAACAAAATATTTTCCATTTTTAATGTCTATGCTCCGATTTTATACAAAATTTTTAATGTAGGACATGATGTTGTAGGTACAACCAATAAACAGCTAAGCAGTCATCATCTATAGCATTAGTGAATTCTGACCCTGACCTCCTTAATCTTCTACAGAATCAGAAAAGTTTCATGCTTTATAACTTACATGTACTCCAGAATAAATGACAGCATTCTACTTGAATCATTGTCTTGGTCCATTTGTGCTGCCACACCAAAACCCTGGAGACTGGGTAATATATAAAGAACAGTATTCTTGCTGTACCTGTCTTATGTTTTGAGATGTATTTACCTACTATTGTGTTTACTGGCCTGCAGTACTCAATCCAGTAACTTGCTGTACAGGTTTGAAGCCTAGGTGCAGTAGGCTTTACCATGTAGGCTGGGTGTGTTATAGGCTAAATCATCTAGGTTTGTGTAAGGACTTTTCATAATGTTCGCTCAATGACGGAATTGCATAAGGACTCATTTCTTAAAACATATCCCCGTTGTTGGCCATTACCTTGCTAGACTCTGGTGTGACCATGTGCTCTTTGAGCTATGGCTGTCACCTTGCTTCCTGGCTTTGGTCCCCTTCCCCACCTTGGGGAGATGAATTCTGTCTCTCTCTCTCTCTCTCATTTATTTTTAAATAAACTATTTTCCCATCTAAAAAAAAATCCCCGTTGTTGAATGATATGATTGCAATTGCACTCTGCCATTAGTTCTCTTTTAAAGCTTTATTCTTTAGTTAAATTATTTCCTCATGTGGCGATTCTCATAAGAATCACTAAACAAATTTAATCCAGCTATTTGGGATCTGAAGAGTTTTTTTCCTACATAATGCTGATCAGACTTTTTTAAAAAGCCAAATTATCTAACCCGAATAATGTATTTTTTCATTTCAATTTCTGCTTCGAATTTTGTGTTTAAAATTAACTCAGTGAAAGGTTTTCTGAGTTAATGATATCTGAAATAAAATAGTTCATTTGCCGTGAAAGCCAGAAGTACCAATATATTTTAGAGGAAATGATGTGTAGGAGTAATAGAGAGCAAAAGTCTATCTGTTGAAATTCATGAGGTAAGTCATTGGGAGTAAAGATTCGTTCTAGGAAAGCCCAAGTAAAGAGAGAGGAGCTGAGACATGATACATCACTTTGTTAAAGATGGTGGCCGTGTAACCCAGGGAACCGGAGCTCAGTGAATTCAGGCGTATCCTATTCAGTAACAGCAAGTACTAGACTTCCCAGGCAGATCCATGGCCTGGGGAAAGCACTACAAATACATCAAGGACTCCCAGGTAGACAGTGCTCAGGGGTCAGATAGGCAGTCATCCTCAAGGAGGTTTCTTCTTAAAGCGGTAGAGACCTGAGCCAGGATAGAAGTGAAGTGTCCAGGGAAGGAAATTGGCAAAAGCAAAACCAAGACCAAGAAGCCCAGTCCTGGGGGTCAGCATGTAGGAAAGTCAAGAGATACAGCCTGAAGGAGGGAGCCAGGTGCCATTGCAAATAGGAGTGGAGAGGTCTTCACCAGCACACCAGATCTTTAGTGAGGTTGAGACCCAAGATGACTGGGTAGAAAATGAGGACCCATGTGTAAGCAACTAGAAGAGTAATCACCACTAAGTTGAAATAAGTGGAAGATGTGTGCAGCTTGAGTCATCATCTGGAGTATTTACAGGAGCTAAAATTTACAGGATACCATCAGAGGACCTCGCTATGAGGGATTAAAAAAGACAGACAGATGATGAGGTGGGTCTGATCCTCTTTTTTCTCTCCACTTTCCCTTTATTGCTATTTTCTTGCGACTCTCTCACTAGAGCCTAAAAGTTAGCTTGATAATACATCATCGAGACGTTCATATCATAGACAATAAGAGCAAGAATTAAAGTATATTTTTCTCCCACTACAAATAGTCACATAATTAAAGAGTAAGACCATTTTTAGAACTTAAAAATAACAAAAAAATTCCTCTCTCTGGATATAGATATATATATAGAGAGAGAGAGATAGAAAGATAATTTATATATGTATACACATACACACCTGGAGTGCCCAAAAAATGTATACACATTTTAAGAGTGTTACCTATGTATTACTCTTAGTTTACCATAATCAGAAGCGTCTGGATGCTGATGGTAACCACTCCGAGCACCTCTTGTAATTACAGAAGTAAAATGCTATTTGTATTCATTTTTTGTTATTGGTATATATAGAGCATTACAATTATAATACAGTTTTTTCTCTCTCAAAACGTATATGCATTTTTGGCACCCTGTGTGTGTATGTGTGTGAATATATATGTATGTATATATGAAGTAAATGAGCATAGGAACACCCATACCACATTGGTCAGAATAGAATAAAACCTCAAGGAAAAAGAAATGCAATGCGAGTATAACTAAAGTGAAATCGATTCAATTCTTCTGAGACCTGCCTAAATCAGGCATATCCAACCCACAGCATGTCCTGCGTGTGGCTCAGGACAGCTAGTAAGGAGGCCCCACAGAATGTTTTATCATGTGTTGTTTAGCATTTATTGTCTTTGTGACCCCATACGTAGGTCTGTTTTTGAGGTTCACCATCACACCTTATTCATGACATTGCTTTCTGGCAGTGCATATATTTGTGAGCAGCTGTTTTCAATTATAAAGCACACAGCAAAATCCAAACAAGCATTTCTGGTGAGCAACTTGAGAACACATTAAGAATTTTGAGACCGGGCTCGGTGGCTCAGCCTGTAATCCCAGCACTTTGGGAGGCTGAGGCGAGTGGATTGCCTGAGCCTGCAGGTTCGAGACCCTAGGCAACTTGGCGAGACCTCGTCTCTATAATAAATCAAAAACTAGCTGGGTGTGGTAGCGTGGGCCTATAGTTCCAGCTATCTGGAAGCTGAGGCGGAAGGATCGCCGGAGCCCAGCAGGTTGAGGCTGCGGTGGCCGGGAATGTGCCACTGTTCTCCAGTCTGGGCTACAGAGTGAAACTCCAACTCAAAAAAAAAAAAAAGAATTTTGACCAGGACTTGATAGATTTGTTTTACAAAAACAAGATCAAATTTCCCACCAGTCTTATGGTTTTATTTTTCCAAACTTAATAATAAAATATTAAAAAATAAAAGAAATATTATTATATATATACACTAACTATATTATGTAATTTATGTGTGGCCCAAGACAATTCCTCTTTACTCAGTGTGGCTCAGGGAAGCCAAAAGGTTGGACACCCCTGATCTAAATGGAACAGAAATGACTGCAGAGAGCACAGGAAAAAAATCCCAAGAGCAGTGTTGACCCACTTCTGTCCAGTGAAAAAGCTCTGACAACAGAAACTTTCTGCCACGGGACAGAAAGTTAGTGAATTCTTAGTGAGTTCTCAAGGTGCTTGTCAGAAATGTTTGTTCGAATTTTGCTTTTGTGTGCTTTATAATTGAAAACAGATGCTCACAAATATATGTGCTGCCAATAAGCAATGTCATGAACAAGGTGTGATTGTGAACTTCCAGTCTATTGTGGGAAGAGAGGGCTCCCCCAGAGGGATCTGTGCCAGACAAATATCCCTGGAGGCCACTCAATTCCATCAATTAACCTAGTCCCCATTCACCCCCAAATACTAAACTACCTAGAGTTAACCTAAATAACAGAGGGAAGATCTCATTTATTCGAGAATAGGCCATTGCAATGGGAATACAAATGCCATCGTAAACTATGTGCATATTCAGGGAGGTAAAGGAAGACCAAGACTTTTAAAGAAGAAATGAGGAGGAAGACATACTTGTTTTGAGATAATTATCCTTGACTATAGGGATTAATAACAAGGGTGGTGCCAGTTCGAGGTTGGCCAGGCAGTTGCTGGGCAGCTGTCCTCACAGAAGTGTTTTTTGTGTAAGGTTGCAATTGCCTTTGTGCAAAGTTATGCTCTTTGCAGTCTTTTCTGATAGTTTTTGTTATCAGGCATTTTAGGCATCAGATCCTTCTTTTCATATCCTTTCTAGGCTCTCTTTATCAAGGGTTTTGTTTTTGTTTTTGGCATAAGTGACTTCATTTTGATTCTGACAATTCTCACGCTAGGTATCAGAGAAGTTAGAGAGCATCCAGACCAGTGTTTCTGGCTGTTTCCAGAAAGTTTTCTTTTACATCAAAGAAGGTGTCTAAAATAGCTCATTGTAAAAGAAAATTATTTAAATTTGAGTTTTAATATGAAGATTTTTAGTCTATAAGAAACAGGGATTCTATCTGCTTCATTCACTGACTATACCAAGCACTTACAAAATATTTAATTGTTTTGATTCCTTGTTATCAGGAAAATCAAAAGAGGTTTTTGTTTCTGCTTCCTTAATTAATCACAGCTAGGTTGAATTTACTTAGTTCATAAAATTGAGCTTACCTGAATTTACGTTGTAATTTCTCCTGTGTTCCCATATTTTGAGAGCCTGAACTCACTGAAAAAATGTGTGTACAAATTGCAATTGTTTTCATTGTTTTGCAAATTTTGTGAACATAATCACTAAGGCAAAAATTTCTGCCAAAGAGATAGTACACGGAAATATTTCAGGTGACCATTGCTAAAAATTTTGTTAAATATCTTTTAGTTGAAAAATCAAAGGACTTGTGTCATATGAAGTATAGTAAGGCTGTCTTCTTTACTGTCTTGAGAACATTTCTGAAGGAAGAAAAACAAGAGTATGTGGGCTTTTCACACATGTAGTTGAAGAAGTTTTCAAATTTTTATTATCGATATAGTCAACTCTTCACAACTCTCATACTTTAATTCTACTGCAGTCTTATTGTACCTAGTAAAAACTCTTACAATTTCGCTTTCCCATACATGTTACCATTAAAATGCCTTTGCTGGCAAACCAACTTTGAGAACGACTGTTTATCACTAGGCAAAACAATGACCTATCATTTGAACTCATGTTTTAGACATTGTCATGAAAGTTTTCAATTCTCCACGTAAAAAAGAGTAATTAAAATAACTGAACATCTGATCAACATTTTTCTCCACCTAAGCCTGCACACACATAAGTCAAAGAGAAAGTTTCCAAACTCAGTTTCTATTTCTCTATGAATTAATCTAAAAGCATAAGCATCCAAGTAATTCTTTCTGTTACACAAAATCCAGCATTTTCCCCAGCCCATTAATACACAAAGAAAATAAGAGACAGACTTTTTGAGAGGAGATATTATTGGTGGGTGACTCCAGGGCT